TAAAAGTAAATAAAAATTGAACTTTTTACCTTACACTCCTTTCTCCTTAAAAAAGAAAAAAAGAAAAAGGGAATTATAGTAATTGTTTAAAATTCTAAATTTTAGTATCCTTACTTTTAACGCCCTCATTATACTGACATCGTCAATCCTTAACAATTTAAATACAAATACCTTTCAAGGCGAAATCATTCCCTTTTCTTCTATATTCGGCTTTAGCTTCCGGCTCTAGTTCAGTTCAACGTAAGTTCATGGGTTCCAAGACCAGCTAATCTGTGATAATTAACTAAACTACTCACATCAAGAGATCAGAATTCATGTGAATCATGTGCACACTTTCCCAACATTAATATCTGAACGTCACCCCCTATGGAAAATCGGCTGCAGTTTGATAACTTTTATAATTTTAAAAATTGGTGGTTTACTATAATGTGAGTTAGCGTTTAAATGTAAATTAAAAATAGACAGATTAATTGAACGATAGAAGAAATAACTCAATGGTAAACAAAAGCATAACAAAATAAAAACAGAATTTGCTATCTCACACTCCTTTTCGTAAACCGAAGTGATTACATTGATCACTCAAAAGTAAAAATTTTGTATCCTTGCTTTTAAAGACCTCGTTATACGGACATCATGAATCCTGCCCAGTTTAAGTTCATATACCTTACAAAGAAAACTCGTTCATGTTCTTATCTTCACCTTCTCTACCTTCCGGCTCAGATTACGGGAAATCCTCGAGTTCAAAGCTAAGCTGGAATAATTAATTAACTAGTTAGAAGAGATTAATTCATATGATCATTACTTACATACTATCTATAAATGTTAAATATCTGTACGTCACCGATATGGGAAACTGGTGTCAGTCTGATAACTCTTTGAATCTGAAAGTTAATGCGATTACCTTGGAAGCGAGTTAGCGTTTAAGTGTAAACTAAAAATTGACAGATAAACTAAACGATAGAAATAATAAGTTAACTAAACAAAACCATAACAAAATAAAATACTTTGCTACCTCACACTCCGTTCGAAAACCGAAGTGATTACATTAATCACTCCTAAATTCCCAATTTTCGTATCGTTACTTTTAACACCCTCATTATACCGACACCAAGAATCCTTTACAGTTTCAGTAGAGATACCTTAGAAAAGGAAATAATTCATGTTCATGAATCTTCATCTTCTCTACTTTCCTGCTCTGGTTCACTTTACAGGAAGTGTTCGAGTTCAAAGACCACTTACGTTAGGCAGAGGGCATAAATGACTCATCAGCACGTTACGTCGAAGGATGAGAAGTGGACACACCAGAACAAGTCCTTTATTTTGATGGAAGGGAAGCCGCAATCTAAAAGCCTTCTTGTGCCATTTAAATTTTCTGGAACGGCATAGGACGATGACCATTTCTTTTGGTGTCTTTCAGTCTTAGGATAAAGTTCA